CCTACATCTCTTGCCTGGGGATCCTAAGGAGAAGCCAGGTGCCTTGTCACAGAAGGAAAGCACTTGCATTCAGTACTTTGAACTCTTTTCTTTACCAGTTGAGCTGCTCCATCTACCCTATGGTGGGGGCCAGCCGTGTGATTTTGGTAGCAGAGACAGTTTCAAGTCCTCAAGTTACATTCAGCTACAGTTCTGGGCATCCCATATCTTCCTGACCTTATCCAAGTTTATTCCCTAGTAAACCAAAAACAAAACACCCTGTACTGGTTTATGAATACTGAGTGAATGCCTGAAAATTCCTGTTGCTTGTGAGGGAGAATGCAAAAATCCAGTGGCCCTTACGGGGGAACCAGTGCTACATCAGCATTTCCATCTATGAACTGTAGCTTTAGAATCCTCCTCAGCACTTGGGATAACTCTACATGACACCGAAGTGAAGTTCCTTCTGTATGCAGATGACATCCTTCTACTGTCACCAACAGAGACAGGCCTACAAGACGGCCTGGAAGTGCTGAGAAATACAGTGCCACATGGGCTCTACCTATGAACTCCAAGGAAACCCAAGTCATAGTGTTCCAAAAGAAGAACACAAAACAAATCAAGAGTTCTTCCTTTTCATTAAATAATGATACTATTACTGAATGTATTGGCTATGCATACCTTCATCTAGAAATGAATCAATCAGGAGGTTTCAAGCCAAAAAGGCAGAACTTTGTGAGCCATCAGGAGATAGCTGAACCCACCAAAAACCACCGGTAAGAGTCTGCCTGGAAATCTTTGGTAGTGTTAATCCTCCGAATCCTACTTTATGACTGTGAGGTTTGGAGCCCAGTCTTCTACCCAACCCAACTCAACCCAAACCAAATGGGACATCAGCCGGACAGAAATATTCAATGTGGAATTCTGCAAGCACCTCCTCCAAGTCCATCTGTGCACCTCCAACAAGGCTTACCGAGCTGGGCAAATTTCCCCTACTGCAATCAGCACAGAAAAGGGCGCTATCATACTAGGTCCACCTCCAAAACAGCAGTCTCAACTCATCCCATCATAAAGCCTTTCTGACCAACAAAGACTAGGCCAATCCATGCGGCCTATGACAATTCTTCAGTCCCTCCAAAACTCCCAACAATGCAGCCTGATAAAATCCAATATAAAAGATATTATGAATGATTCCAAACAAGAATATGTCAAGGAATGGAGAAACGAGAAACTGCTAGTTAGCCCCATACCTGGAGATTCCAAAGACAGGCAGACAGACCTGATCCTGTACAGACCGAGCGCCCACAGCCTGGAAATCCAATCAGGACAGCACAGACAGCCCTATGAACCCAAGGAGAGTAGATTGTCAACGGTGTGACCAGGGAACCCTGGAGGATGGGGCCCACTACCAGCTATGGAGCCCCAAGTGCTCAGTAATGGGGGACACTCGTTTCCCTCTCATCCCAGGCTACAGAAGTGAAGAGGAAGCTCCACATTCTACCAGGAGAAGAGGAACCAGCAGCGCACATATTTGCACGGAACACTGCTAGGGACACAATGGAAAATTGAGAACTTACAAATCCCGTACCTGGACTCATCTCCTATCCTCCTTTATATTATCCTGTACCCCTACAAATATCCTAAGAGTTATTCCTTCTACACCCCCCCCCAACACACACACCTTCCGAGCCAACCTATAATAAATAATTGGTTGTTTTGGCAATGCTAACTTGCATTTGGTCCTTCCAATATAAGCTGATTTGAATTTCAGAGAGAGAGTGGAAGGGAGAGATTTTTTCCTTTACCCCGGTACTGTCCCAGGGCTTTCCTCCCACCACCCAGCCCATAATAACTTCCCAATTGCTTTGGCAATGCTAAAATGTATTCCGTCCAGACATTAAAATGTGTTTGAATTGAACTGAGAAACAAAAAGACGAGGAGGAGAAGGTAGCGGAGAGGATGGGGGAGAGAGAGAGGAAAAAAAGAGAGAAGAGAAAGAATAGAAAGAGAGAGAGAGAGAGGGAGGAGGAGAGGGAAAGATGAAGGCGGGAGAGAGGTAGGGATAAAGAGAAAAAGGAAGGGAGGAGGAGGGAGAGGGGGAGAGAGGGAGGGAGGGATAGAATGGGGAGAGAGGGGGAGGGAGGGGTAGGGAGAAAGAGAGAGAGAGAGAGAGAGAAGGAAGAGAGAGAGTTGGAGATAGAGAGGAGAGAGGCAGGGATGGAGATAGAAAGAGAAAGAGGGGGGGGAGAGAGAGGTGGAGATAGAGAAAGATGGGTGGGGAAGAGAGAAGGAAGAGAGAGATGGGGTGGGGCTAGAGAAAGGGAGGGAGAGAAAGAGAGAGAGGGAGGGGTAGAGAGCGAGGAAGGGAGAGAAAGATGGAAGAGGGAGAGAGGGGGAGGGAGAGGTAGAGGGGGGAGAGAAGGAAGAGAGAGGGAGTGGGGGATAGAGAAAGGGAGGGAGAGAGGAGGGAAAGAGAGAGATAGAGGGGGAGAGGAAAAAAGTGAGAAGATAAAGAATAGAAAGAGAGAGGGAGGGAGAGAGGGAAAGATGGAGGAGGGATAGAGTGGGAGGGAGAAAGAGAGAAAGAGAAGGAAGAGAGAGATGGAGATAGATGGAGGGAAGGAGAGAGAGAGAGAGGAAGGAAGGAAGGAAGGGAGGGAAGGAGAGAAGGAAGGAGTGAAGGAAGGAAGGAGGGAAGGAGGGAAGGAAGGAAGGAAGGAGGGAGGGAAGGAGAGAAGGAAGGAGGGAAGGAGAGAAGGAAGGAGTGAAGGAAGGAAGGAGGGAAGGAGGGAAGGAAGGAAGGAAGGAGGGAGGGAAGGAAGGAGAGAAGGAAGGAAGGAGAGAAGGAAGGAAGGAAGGAAGGAAGGAAGGAAGGAAGGAAGGAAGGAAGGAAGGAAGGAGGGAAGGAGAGAAGGAAGGAGGGAAGGAGAGAAGGAAGTTGGGAAGGAAGGAAGGAGGGAAGGAAGGAGGGAAGGAAGGAAGGAAGGAGGGAGGGAAGGAGGGAGGGAAGGAAGGAAGGAAGGAAGGAAGGAAGGAAGGAAGGAGGGAAGGAATGAAGAAGGGAAGGAAGGAAGGAGGGAAGGAGAGAAGGAAGGAAGGAGGGAAGGAGGGAAGGAATGAAGGAAGGAGGAAATGAAGGAAGGAGGGAAGGAAGGAAGGAAGGAGGGATGGAAGGAGGGAATGAAGGAAGGAGGGAAGGAAGGAAGGAGGGAAGGAAGGAGGGAATGAAGGAAGGAGGGAATGAAGGAAGGAGGGAAGGAAGGAAGGAGGGAAGGTCGGTCTATTTGGACCCTGAAATCCATCTTATACATGTGTTCCGGCGCTCTTTTCTGAAGCCTATGGCGGGAGCTCGCGGAACACGCAGAATCCTCCTAATATTCTGTAATTGTCGGAGATATTTTTTGTTTAACTTTAAGTGACAAAAAAAAAAATAAAATCCGCAGAACGAGCCAAATTATCGGCGGCACTCGGGCTGCCTCTAGAAATAATGATGAATGACATCGATATGAAATCTCTCCCAGATCCCCGTCACTTCAGCTTCTCTATAAAAAAAAAACAAAAAAAACCCCATAATCAGAAAACTGTAGGACTTCTTTGAAAGAAAAATATTGCAATGATAATTTTGATTATCTGTCACGGCTTGACTTTGAAGTTTCTCGCAGACACACACAACCAAAGCAGAAATTATCTGCGGCGGATTAGAGTGCTGTTGTGTAGAGCCAGACTAAGACTGACATCTAATTTCGGAATATAGAAGTTGCATTAAGGCCGCAGAGACTTTGGACGACTTTCAATATCTTCAATTTTCTTCATTTTTTTTTCCCCTATAAACGGCTTAACTGGGTTTTTAGCTTAAGTTAAAAAAATAAAATAGAAAAAAAAAAAAAACCCACAGAACTGATACATTTTCATCAGACGGGAGAAGAAAGGAGCGCGTCAGTTCCCTTCAAATACAAAGCGTGATATCATTCCCAAATCACCTACCTCCCCGCCGCCGCAACCGGGCTTAAAGGGCCAGTCCACCCCGAACACCGCACTGCAGCTTTTGCTGGGTCCTAGAGATTTCTATTGGGCCTTGCATCGGATGAATAATGTGTCAGTGACACCCTTCCAGGTATATATATAAATATATATAGAATCTCTCACAGAGATCACGGGACTCCCCCTGACAATGCCTTCATCTCACTCTCTCCGGGAGGACGGCACCATCTTTGTTCAGGCATAACCTAGGATCACATCTACATGGAAAGGAAATGCTTCCTCCTCCTTCTACAAAGTTACAATGTGCAGTCTGATCACTGGGGGAGGGGAGACTGAGAAAATGACTCCTCCTCCTTCTACAAAGTTACCATGTATAGTCTGATCACTGGGGGAGGGGAGACTGAGGAAATGCCTCCTCCTCCTTCTACAAAGTTACAATGTACAGTCTGATCACTGGGGAAGGGAGACTGAGGAAACGCCTCCTCCTCCTTCTACAAAGTTACAATGTACAGTCTGATCACTGGGGAAGGGAGACTGAGGAAATGCTTCCTCCTCCTTCTACAAAGTTACAATGTACAGTCCGATCACTGGGGGAGGGGAAACTTAGGAAATGCCCCCTCCTCCTTCTACAAAGTTACAATGTACAGTCTGATCACTGGGGAAGGGGAGACTTAGAAAATGCCTCCTCCTCCTTCTACAAAGTTACAATGTACAGTCTGATCACTGAGGGAGGGGAGACTGAGGAAATGCTTCCTCCTGCCTGCAGCAGACTGTTGACATCATAACAGCCTAGGCAGAGTCACTGAGTGGAGCTCAAGAATGGCTTTTTAATGATAAAAGGTGGAGCTTTTCTGAAGAACAATCCTGTTGCTGTATATAGTGTCATGTCAGGAATGTATTCATGTAACTTGTGAAGTTAATGACAGGTCCTCTTTAAGTAAGAGTAGCAAGATTTGTGCTTGTGATCCATCATCACTGAGCACTCCTATATCCACCTATCCATGAAAGCAATGCTGAGCACTCTGGTTTCCCAGTACATTATATTGTCCCCGCCCTCCATATCATGTGATTCAGGTGTTCCAATCCCCTCCATATCATGTGATTCAGGTGTTCCAATCCCCTCCCAATCATGTGATTCAGGTGTTCCAATCCCCTCCATGTCATGTGATTCAGGTGTTCCAATCCCCTCCATGTCATGTGATTCCGGTGTTCCAATCCTCTCCATATCATGTGATTCAGGTGTTCCAATCCCCTCCATATCATGTGATTCAGGTGTTCCAATCCCCTCCATATCATGTGATTCAGGTGTTCCAATCCCCTCCATATCATGTGATTCAGGTGTTCCAATCCCCTCCATATCATATGATTCAGGTGCTCCAATCCCCTCCCAATCATGTGATTCGTATGTTCCAATCCCCTCCATATCATGTGATTCAGGTGTTCCAATCCCATCAATATGTTATTCAGGTGTTCCAATCCCCTCCATATCATGTGATTCAGGTGTTCCAATCCCCTCCATATCATGTGATTCAGGTGTTCCAATCCCCTCCATGGACACAGGTGTATACAATCAAGCCCCTAGACATACAGACGGCTTCTACAAACATTGGTGAAAGAATGGGTCGCTCTCAGGAGCTCAGTGACTCCAAGCGTGGTCCCGTGATAGGTGGCCACCTGGGCAATAAGTCCATCCGTGACATTTCCTGGCTACTAAATATTCCACGCTCAACTGTTAGTGGGATTATAACAAAGTGGAAGCAACTGGGAACAACAGCCACTCAGCCACCATGTGGTAGGCCACGTCACATGACAGGGCGGGGTCAGCACATGCTGAAGCGCACAGTGCGCAGAAGTCGCAAACTGTCTGCAGAGTCAATAGCTAAAGACCTCCAAACTTGGTGTGGCCTTCAGATGAGCCCAACAACAGAGCGTAGAGAGCTTCATGGAATGGGTTTCCATGGCCGAGCAGCTGCATCCAAGCCTTCCATCACCAAGTGCAATGCAAAGTGTCGGATGCCGTGGTGTAAAGCATGCCACCACTGGACTCTAGAGCAGTGGAGGCGTGTTCTCTGGAGTGACCAATCACACTTTGTCTGGCAATCTGATGGACATGTCTGGGTTTGGCGGTTACCAGGAGAACGGTACTTGCCTGACTGCATTGTGCCAAGTGTAAAGTTTAGTGGAGGGGGGGATTATGGTGTGGGGTTATTTTTCAGGGGTTGGGCTTGGCCCCCTAGTTCCAATGAAGGGAAATGAACTCTTAAGGCGACATTTTGGACAATTTCATGCTCCCAACTTTGTGGGAGGAGTTTGGGGATGGCCCCTTCCTGTTCCAACATGACTGCCCACCAGTGCACAAAGCAAGGTCCATAAAGACATGGAGGAGCCAGTTTGGGGTGGAGGAACTTGACTGTCCTGCACAGAGTCCTGACCTCAACCCCATAGAACACCTTTGGGATGAATTAGAGCGGAGACTGCGAGCCAGGCCTCCTCCCCCGACATCAGTGCCTGACCTGACAAATGTGCTTCTGGAAGAATGGTCCAACCTTCCCATAGACACCCTCCTAAACCTTGTGGACGGCCTTCCCAGAAGAGTTGAAGCTGTTATAGCTGCAAAGGGCGGAGCCAACTCAATATTGAACCCTACAGACTAAGACTGGGAGGCCATTAAAGGTCATGTGTGTGGAAAGGGTGGGGCCAACTCAATATTGAACCCTACGGACTAAGACTGGGGGGCCATTAAAGGTCATGTGCGTGGAAAGGATGGGGCCAACTCAATATTGAACCCTACGGACTAAGACTGGGGGGCCATTAAAGGTCATGTCCGTGGAAAGGGCGGGGCCAACTCAATATTGAACCCTACAGACTAAGACTGGGGGGCCATTAATGGTCATGTGCGTGGAAAGGGCGAGGCCAACTCAATATTGAACCCTACGGACTAAGACTGGGGGGCCATTAAAGGTCATGTCCGTGGAAAGGGCGGGGCCAACTCAATATTGAACCCTACAGACTAAGACTGGGAGGCCATTAAAGGTCATGTCCGTGGAAAGGCCGGCGGCCCAATATTGAACCCTATGGACTAAGACTGGGAGGCCATTAAAGGTCATGTGTGTGGAAAGGCCGGTGGCCGAAGACTTGGGGCAATGTGGTGTATATCCCCCCGAAAACCTCCATTTTGGGTGGACTGACCCTTTAAGTCTCTTTTATTTCTGCGTTGTGTTTGGTGGAAGAATATCTGACGAGGGATAACAGTCATCTTCTCAGTCGATTATTTCTACTGAAAGAGTTCTGGAGATTTATCAGGGTGCCCAGCGAGGGACCTGAACATCGCCGTCGCCCATCCATCACCCGCTTCAGCCCGTTCACACAAGAGCGCGGCTAGAAATCTCGCGGAGACCGCTGGGACTCGGCTTCCTGCGGAAATGTGACTTACACAAATTAGTCTGCGGCGGGGACATCATTTTATCTTAACAATCCGCTTGTTTAATTTTCCGCGGCGAGAATACGAGGTAAAGCCGTATATTTCCGCCATCTTTCACAACGCACGCGATATATCTGGCGCGCTGGGAGGGCGTTGTGAATAAGCGAGTCGGGAGAGATCTGTTTCTAGACTGCGAAGGGAATTTTCAGGGGATTGGAGAGTTATGACGGAGGAAAGGAAAAATCTTTACAGGAAGGCGTATTAAAGGGGTGCAAGAACTTCGACACGTATGCATCCGATCGAACGACGGGAACGTTTTCTACAAGCTCACCGGCTCTGGTAAGGCGGCTCGCAAACAAACCAGGATTCCCGTGTTTCCGCTGGGTCCATAGAAGTAACTCAAATCACAAGAATGTGGAAAATTGCACCAAACTAAAAGACATAGAAGTGCTGAGGTGCTTGTAAGCCGGTGTAGTTAGCTAGTCTGCCAGTAGGTGGCTCTGTTCCTAAATAGTGTGTGGCATTAGGGAATGGTATAACAGGGTGTTAGCTCCTCTTACACAAAGTCTTCCAGTATTGACGGCACGGGCAGGGGCGGACTGACAACTCATGGGGCCCCCGGGAGCAGTGGTGCCAACCGCCCGCAGCATTTTTTACTGACAAAACATGGAAAATTTACTGACGGGCGTTTTTTTTTACTGACAGCCTGAAAAATGACATTAAAAAAAAGACAATCAATATTTAACCACCCCCTTCCTGCCAAGGCCAATGGTCAGCTTTCAGCACTGTCGCACTTTGAATGAGAATTGCGCGGTCATGCAACGTTGTACCCTTATGAATTTGTTTTTTCATACAAATAGAGCTTTCTTTTGGTGGTATGTAATCACCACTGTTTTTTTTTATTTTTTGCTAAACAAACGAAAAAAGACCAAAAGTTTTGAAAAAAAAAAAAGTTTTTCTTAGTCTCTGATGGGCACTGATATGCGGCACTGATGATCACTGATGGGCGGTACTGATGGGCACTGATAGCCAGCAATGATGGGCACTGATAGCCAGCACAGATGGGTTCTGAAAGCCAGCACTGATGGGCACTGATAGCCGGCACAGATGGGCACAGATGGGCACTGATAGCCAGCAATGATGGGTTCTGAAAGCCAGCACAGATGGGCACTGATAGCCAGCACAGATGGGCACTGATAGCCAGCAATGATGGGTTCTGAAAGCCAGCACAGATGGGCACTGATAGCCGGCACAGATGGGCACAGATGGGCACTGATAGCCAGCACTGATGGCACAGATGGGCACTGTTTGCCACACTGATGGGGCTACATTGATCATTGTAGATGTCCCCCAGTTTATACTGTGATCAGCTGCGATCTAACTGGCTAAACCGTAAAAACACGATACAGAAACACTGACAATCAGTGGCGTAGCGTAGTTTGTCATCACCCCTAACCTGTGGACTTTTAGATAACCCCACCCTGATCACACCCCCAGATACCCCCATTCTGATCACACCCCCAGATACCCCCATTCTGCTCACAGCCCCAGATGCCCCCCCTTTCTCTGATCACACCCCAGATACCCCCCTTTTTCTGATCACACCCCCCAGATACCCCCATATTCTGATTGCACCCCTCCAGATACTCCCACCCTGATCCTCCCCCAGATATCCGCACCCTGATCACACTCCCCAGATACCCCCATTCTGATCACACTCCCCAGATACCCCCAACTTGACAACCCCCCAGATATCCCCACCTTGATCATACCACCCAGATACCCCTATTCTGGTCACACCCCCATATATCCACCTCCCCCCAGATACTCCCACCTTGATTACACCCACAGATACGCCCACTTTGATCATATCCACAGATCCCCCCCCCCCATTCTGATCACACCACCCCCCAGATACTCACACCCTAATCATACCCACAGATACCCCCCACTCTGATCACACACCCCCAGAAATCCCCACCCTGATCACACCCCCAGATACCCCCACCCTGATCAAACCCCCTGGATACTCCCACCCTGATCCTCCCCCAGATATCCCCACCTTGATCACACCACCCAGATACCCCTATTCTGGTCACACCCCCCAGATATCCACATCCCCCCAGATACCTCCACCTTGATTACACCCCCAGATACCCCCAATTTGATCACACCCACAGATACCCCCCACTCTGATCACACCCCCCCAGATATCCCCACCCTGATCACACCCCCAGATGCCCTCCACTCTGATCACACCCCCAGGTACCCCCCTTTCTCTGATCACACCCCTAGATACCCCCACCTTAATCACACTCCCCAGATAACCCCACTCTGATCACAGCCTAATATACCCCCCACTCAGATCACACACCCCCATATACCCCCACCCTGATCATACCCCCAGCTACCCCTCCCCCTTTCTCTGATCACACCCCAGATACCCCCACCCTGATCAACCCCCCTAGATTATTGTTGCTGGTGGGGTCTATTGTTGCTGGAGGGGTTTATTGTGGCTGGCGGGGTCTTTGTTGCTGGAGCGGGGGACCACCAGTTGTTAATTGATATTTTGCTGCAGGAGGGTCTATTTTTTGCTGGCGGGGATCTATTGTTGCTGGAGGACATTAGTTGCTGGCTGCAGGGGATCTATTGTTGCTGCAGGGGATCTATTGTTGCTGCAGGGGATCTATTTTACTGCTTTTCATGTTACCATTAACAAATGTCATACAAATTACTCAGCACCACAAAAGGATACTTGGCTCTGTATTCTCTAAAAGGGGCGGTACTGGGAGGTGGCTATGGGGGAGGAACCAAGGGATGGTGCTCGGAGGTGCGTAGGGGGCGGAGACAAGGGTGTGACTCAGAAGGGCGCATTTCCTGCACGTATTCTGAGAAAAAAAGCCCCGCCTACAACCTACCATAGAAAGAATGTTATTATATTGATTGTGTAACATACAAGGATATTGATAATATTGATATTGTTAGCAAGAATTCGTTACAAATATATGTAAACAAAGAGCAACAATGAAGCCATAATTAATCATCTAATTACTTTAAACACAGACACCTCCTCAACCCCCCCCCCCCCGACCCCCAAATATGTTTTATTATTATTATTATTATTATTTATATTGATTTTGTAACATATAATAA